GATGTGTTCTGAGCACAAACACTTTTTCTCCTTGCTATTAATGATTTGGCCTCTATCTTCCATCAAATATTTGGTCATCACTCTATGTTGATGACTTCGCTATTGCCTGTGCAGGCGCTGACTGTCACCTCCTTACAGATTCTCTCCAGCATGCAGTCGACCGTGTTTCCAATTGGGCCACCACACATGGGTTTAAATTTTCCAGCACTAAAACCCACCAAATCACTTTCACTAGACGCTCTGTCCATCTCTGATCATCCTTTGTACCTCTATGGCTCACGTATCCTGAACGTGTATACAGTCAAGTTTCTGGGCCTCCTCTTTGATCGTAGGTTATCCTGGAAACCTCACATTACCTCTCTGAAGGCAACTTGTCACAGCCGGCTGAACCTTTTAAAACCCTTGCTCATCTTTCGTGGGGAGCTGATCGTCGAACCCTCCTTCACCTACATTCCACCCTATTTATCGAAACTTGATTATGGTGACCAGATCTATTCAGCGGCATCTCCTGCTACTCTCTCTAGCCTTAACCCCATTCATCACCAAGGATTACGTTTATGCCTTGTGCTTTTCGCTCTTCCCCTGTCGAAAGCCTCTATGCAGAAGCGAACGTTCCATCCTTATCCGATCGCCGTGATGCCCATTGCCTGCGCTACTATGTACGCTCTCCATGATCTCCGCAATCCTTCCATTTATAAATGGTCACTGATATTAGTAGACATTCTTTATTTGTTCGCCGCCCCTGCTTACTCCGTCCCTTCTCTCTTCGCCTTCATTCGCTCTTGTCTCTCTTCAACTACCACCTTTCTATGTACATGTAGCATCTCACTTTTCCCTACCCCCCTGGGAAGTTCCAGCTGTTCGAGTCTGTTCTTTCTCCCTCCCTTGCTCGAAAGCCCAACTGTCTACGGTCGCTTCCCGCTCTCTTTTTCTTGACCACTTTCACTCTCATTCTCATGCCATTGCTGTGTACACAGATGGCTCTAAGTCTTCTGACGGCGTAGGATTCGCAGCAGTGTTTCCGGACAGCGTCGTACAAGGGCATTTACTATCTTCAGCTGTATTTTTACTGCTGAATTATATGCCATCCTTACAGCACTTATCCGTATTGCATCTATGCCTGTGTCATCATTTGTGGTTGTCTCAGACTCCCTTAGTGCTTTACAGGCTATACAAAAATTTGATACACCTCACCCCTTAGTCCTCCGTATCCAACTTTGGCTACGCCGCATCTTTACTAAGCATAAAGATATTGTTTTTTGTTGGGTCCCTGGTCATGTTGACATACAGGGCAATGAACAGGCAGACACTGCTGCGCGGTCAGCAGTACATGACCTACCAGTTTCTTATAGAGGTATTCCATGTACGGACTATTTTGCTGTAATATCTTCCCACCTTCACACCCGTTGGCAACAACGTTGTCTACTATGCTCGGCAACAAACTTCAGTCTATTAAACCGAGTATAGGTTACTGGCCGTCTTCTTATCACCAGTGTCGAGGTTGGGAGACTACTCTCTCCCGTCTTCGCATTGGCCATACTCGTCTTACTCATGGATATCTCATGGAGAGGCGTCTTGCTCCTCTCTGTGAGAATTGCCAAGCTCCATTATCAGTCAGCCACATTCTGTTGGACTGCCCACTTTATCAACGAGCACGCAGAATTTACCTCTGTCGTCGTCTTCGCCCCGCTGCTCTCTCTTTACCTTCCCTTCTCGCTGATGGACCCACCTTTCATCCGGACTCTCTCATTGACTTTTTGACAACGACTGACTTACTTCACAAATTCTGATACTTTCACCCCTTTCTACTTGTATCTCTTGCTACCCTCTACCCCCGTACTATCCCCCGCCCCGCTGTTTTCTGTAACCTGCTGATCATCCCCCCTCCCTTCTGCCATCCAATTCCCTTGCTTCCTTCCCTACCCTGCAGCGCTGTATAGCCCTTGTGGCTTAGCGCTTCTTTTTGATTATAATAATAATTTATTTTTTTGTAAATGCGATTGAAAATCCACATCCAAAATTGAATAGTGCATAGATAGGCTTCAATCACTTTCACAAAAAGTCTCCATGTCATTCTACTTTGTTCCATTCTCTCTAAATGACCAAACCACCTCAACAGCCCCTCTTCAGCCCTCTCACTAATACTTTCAGTAATCCACACTACAAATTCAGTGCATATTTACACCACACACTGCCCTTAGACAACATCTCCACTGTCTCCAGCCACCATCTTGCTGCAGCATTTACAAACCATGCTTCACACCCACATAAGAGTGTTGGTATCAGTATATATACGAGCACGCAGAAATTACCACCTTCGCACCCGTTGGCAACAACGTTGGTCAACTTTGCTCGGTAACAAACTTCATTCTATTAAACCGAGCATAGGTTACTGGCCGTCTTCTTGTCATCAGTGCCGAGGTTGGGAGACCACTCTCTCCCGCCTTCGCATTGGTCACACTCGTCTTACTCATGGGTATCTCATGGAGAGGCACCCTGTTCCTCTCTGTGAGCAGTGTCAAGTTCCAGTATCGATTAGCCACATTCTGTTAGACTGCCCTCTCTATCAACGAGCACGCAGAATTTACCTCCAACGTCGTCTTCGTTCTACTACTCTCTCTTTACCTTCCCTTCTTGCTGATGGACCCTCCTTTAATCCTGACTCTCTCATTGACTTCTTGACAACGACTGATTTACTCCACAAACTCTGATGATACTTTTCGCACTCCCCTCAGCCCTTTCTAGTTCAGTCTCTTGCTGCCCTTTCACCATCCACTGCCCCGCTGTTATCCGTAACCTATTACTCATCCATCTCCCTTTTGCCACCTGATGCCCTCGCTTCCTTCCTGCCCTGCAGCGCTGTATAGTCCTTGTGGCTTAGCGCTTCTTTTTGATTATAATAATCTCTTTACCTTCCCTTCTTGCTGATGGACCCTCCTTTAATCCTGACTCTCTCATTGACTTCTTGACAACGACTGATTTACTCCACACACTCTGATGATACTTTTCGCACTCCCCTCAGCCCTTTCTAAGAAGTTCAGTCTCTTGCTGCCCTTTACCCTTTCACCATCCACTGCCCCGCTGTTATCCGTAACCTATTGCTCATCCATCTCCCTTTTGCCACCTGATGCCCTCGCTTCCTTCCTGCCCTGCAGCACTGTATAGCCCTTGTGGCTTAGCGCTTCTTTTTGATTATAATAATAATAATAATGGTATCAGTATACTCTCGTACATTCCCTTCTTTGCCTCCATGGATAACATTCTTTATCTCCACAGATACCTCAATGCACCACTCACCTTTTCTCCTTCATCAATTCTATGGTTAACCTCATCCTTCATAAACCCATCTGCTGACAAGTCAACTCCCAAATATCTGAAAGCATTCACTTCTTCCATACTCCCTCCCTCCAATGTGATATCCAATTTTTCTTTATCTAAATCGTTTGATACCCTCATCACTTTATTCTTATTTATGTTCACTTTCAACTTTTCACCCTCCCAAACTCATCCATTAACCTTTGCAACTTTTCTCCAGAATCCGAAAAGCACAGTATCATCAGCAAAAAGTAATTGTGTCAACTCCCATTTTTTCTTTGATTCCTCATAATTTAATCCCACCCCTCTCCCCAACACCCTAGCATTTACTTCTTATACAACCCCATCTATAAATACATTAAACAACCATGGTGACATTACATATCCCTGTCTAATACCTGCTTTTACCAGGAAGTAATCTCCCTCTCTCCTACACACCTTAACCTGAGCCTCACTGTCCTCATTAAAACTCTTTACAGCATTTAGTAACTTGCTACCTATTCCATATACTTGCAACATATGATAGTGGATAGGGGAGCAGTGTGGCATATGTTTTCTAAATCCATAAATGCAATGGAAACTTCCCTACCTTTATCTAAATACTATTCACATACATGCTTCAATGTAAACACCTGATCTACACATCCCCTACCCATTCTAAAGCCTCCTTGCTCATCTGCAATCCTCCTCTAATTCTTTCAATAATAATCATACCATACAGTTTACCTGGTATACTCAGTAAACTTCTCTTCTTTCAGCGCACCCACCGTATCCCACCGAGGCAGGGTGGCCCAAAAAGAAAAACAAGAGTTTCTCTTTTTAACTTTAGTAATGTATACAGGAGAAGGGGTTACTAGCCCCTTGCTCCCAGAATTTTAGTCACCTCTTACGGCACACATGGCTTACGGAGGAAGAATTCTGTTCCACTTCCCCATGGAGACTTGGTAAACTTGTACCCTATAATTTTTTACAATCTCTCATTCCCCCCTTCCCTTTATACAAAGGAATGATACACACTTTCTGCCAATCCCTAGGTATCTTCTGCTAATTTGAGGTTGATTTCAAGCTACCATTGGTCCTGTAACCAAGTAAAATCATCTCTATTTTATTAGTATATCTGCCACTCTAATTAATGATACCTGCCTCGGTGGGGGACGGCCGACTTGAGAAAAAAAAAAAAAAGCAAGTCAATAAAACTATAAAAATACATCCTGGAAAACACTTCAAAGTAGCTATCTTAACTAAACACAAGGTCAGAGATTTGCTTTTTTTCATCATGCACAGCATGGGACAGGATTTTTTTTTATACCATGCACACTCGCCACACAGACCCATTCTCTCATATCTAGGCTAAATTTGCCTCTCTCAGCTTAGCTTGAGACGTAGATCTATGTGAGGAACCCTGGTGTCAAGGTAGATCTACATGAATGACATTGAAAGGATTTAATACAGTTTCTGAATTCAGTGAAAAAAAAAAGTTAATACTCTACTACTGTATTTTAAACACTATACTTGTGTAAATGTTTATTACTTATCTGTGCTTGATGTACAATCAATGAATAAATCAAAATATTTAATAAATAAGGTAGTTACTAAAGGTAACATTGATAATTTTTATTTGTCCTTTAATAAAATATTTCTCCAATAAGACAGAACAAAGATTCATACGACATATGTACTCTCACCTGGAGTTTAAGTGACTGTGTGAGTCCTCGAGCTATTTGTTTCTGTTTGCAGACAGTACTGGCAAGGCTAAATGATGCATGGAAAAATGGCTTCAAAAGATTTAATGTAACTTCATCTGGTAGGACCTTCAGTGCCTGAAACAAAAAAAAGATGAGCAAAATTTACTGAATGATTTGTTCATTCACTGAAACATACAAACTTACATTTAAAAAAATTTAATCAAAAGTAAATCAAGAGCCACTAAATGCATGAGGGTTATTCAGTACTGCATGGAAGATGTGAAAGAGACAGTAAATGGGAAGAAATAGATGTGTTGCAGAAAGAAAGGAAAAGTGTGGGGAAAAGGGGAATCACAGTTGATACAGGAAATCAGTGTCAGTCAAGAAATCAAAGAATCTATTGCAGGTGGGTCCACAAATACCTGCTAGAAAAGGCAAGGGGAAGAAGGGGCACTTGTTTTTTCCTGAATCAGGCCTGTTAAAAAAAAAAAAAAAAAAAAAAAAAAAACATTGACAGCATATATGCCCTTGCTCTCCCCTGGGAAAGAACTAGTAGACAAATTTATGGGGGTTGATTTTATCAGTGTGTAACACTGAAATACATGTGTGTTTCTATCATATCCTTCTTGACATACCACTTAAGTCATCTAAAGTTAGCTTATGGAGGATAGAAAAGTCAATACCTACTCACACTTGCTTAATGGCACTCAAGATTTTGGGGTTAGAGGACACGTCCATGCCATGAAGCTTGTATTTAATAAGTTTCCAAATGGTTTCTATCGGATTTAAGCCCAGTGAATTTCAGGCCACTTACTAAAGCATGGAAAAAAAATCACAATAAAATAGCCAATTCATTATGTATTGGGCAGTATGATAAGGGGCACTATCTTTCATGCAAAAGTTGCCCTGGCACTTCTCAAACCTGTCAGGTAAACAGTCTAAAAAGGCATACTTACGGGCATGTATATTTATGACACCTACTGTAGTACTTATGTTACAGCACAGTATGTACAAACAGTATTTACATTACAGTACAATATAGTACTGTATTTGTGTTATACTTAAGGGAGTGATATAAACCTTGGTAACTGATACTAACACGTGGTTTAAACAAAAAAAGTAAGCAAACAGTACAACACAGAAGTGATCGAGGTCCTGGGACCATAACGTTTTCTAATAAATGTCTTAGTAGATGAGTGGTTCAGAGAACCGACATGTTGTTGAATTAGACATATGTGCAACTCTTGGGTATCTTTATTCAGGAAACGTTTCGCCACACAGTGGCTTCATCAGTCCATACAAAGGAGAAACTTGAAGAACAGGAGGAGAATGAGATAATCAGTCCCTCAGCCTTGAGTCGATGTGGTCAGTCCATCAATTTTGAATAGAATACGGCATATGAGCGGAGAAGCAGTTATAAACCATAGACAGGTGAGGGGCAGCAGTCGTAGGTGGTGTCACATTTGTCCAATGTGGAAGTAGGTCGTGCCCAAGGGTTAGGCAAGTGAAGAATTCCCAAGTATTAAGATCCCAAGAAGTTGCAGTGTCTGACAGGATGGTAGATGAATGGTTCAGAGAACCGACATGTTGTTGAATTAGACAATGTGCAACTCTTGGGTATCTTTATTGAGGAAACGTTTCGCCACACAGTGGCTTCATCAGTCCATACAAAGGAGAACTTCATCAGTAATGGACTGATGAAGCCACTGTGTGGCAAAACATTGCCTCAATAAAGATACCCAAGAGTTGCACATGTGTCTAATTCAATAAATGTCTTAGTGTTTGCTCATGTTTTTAAACTCCTCCTGATGGCTGTGAGGGACTCTTGGTGTAAGGAATTGGACCTGTGCTCCCCTTTCTTGAACTGTACCTGAATGCCTCCCATTCCACTAGGTGCTGCATGACCCATACAGGTTTAGCACTCCCCCCTCCCCCATGAATGTAAATAATAAGTACATTTGTATTACCATACACTACAATATACTCATTCTTTTGTATCTTATTCTTCACGTTTAATTTGCCTGAAAAAATAAGTTACAACATCATGGTTGGAATAATTTACAAATACAGTGGAACCTCAGTTTTCATATAGTTATTCTCTATAAAATGTATTTTTTGTTAATCTTCTTTTTTCAACAACACCGGTCGTATCCCACCAAGGCAGGGTGGCCCAAAAAGAAGAACAAAAGTTTCTCTCTTTAAATTTAGTAATTTATACAGAAGAAGGGGTCACTAGCCCCTTGCTCCTGGCATTTTAGTCGCCTCTTACAACACGCATGGCGTACGGAGGAAGAATTCTATTCAACTTCCCCCATGGAGATAAGAGGAAATAAACGAGAACAAGAACTAGAAAGAAAATAGCAGAAAACCCAGAGGGCTGTGTATATATATGCTTGTACATGTATGTGTAGTGTGACCTAAGTGTTAGCAGAATTAGCAAGACGTACCCGAAATCTTGCATGTTTATGAGACAGAAAAAAAGGACACCAGCAATCCTACCATCATGTAAAACAATTACAGGCTTTTGTTTTACACTCACTTGGCTTTTTTGTTAATATTTATCATAATAAATAATATAAATCCAGGTAATCCATTCCAGACACCCAAAAATATTAACAAAAAATATATTTTATAAAGAATATCTACAGTTTTACATACAAACTAGGGCATACAAAAACTGAGGTTCTAATGTAATCCTCACTTTGGAGACATTCTGCACAAAATTTTGGACCATTTCGGACCAAGATGCCGTCTAACATATACTCTTCAACGAGAGGGTTATCTGTGAATATGCATATTTTTTTTTTTATCTTGATGGCCATCTCCCACCAAGGTAAGGAGACCCAAAGAAGGAAATGCATTCACCATCATTCATTAAATATGAAATATAGTATGATATAATTTGTAATAATATATACAAAATTTATTCTTTTAATAACTTTAACTAATCAATTTGAACAACTTATAAATATTTCACACTGCCTACAAATTAAACTTACTGTACAGTATACAGTATCTTAATTTTCAACTTACTGTGGACCATTAAACTTTATCAATGAATTAGTAATTAGCTTTACCTGGCCAAGGTCTATGCAGTGTAGATAATTCTGCAGAAGCTGAAGAACAGCTTCCACATCTGGTTGTCTTGTCTGCTGCTGCTGCTGCTGCTGCTTGATCGGAGACTCTGAGGGACTTCTAGTATCCACAGGACTGACGAGCAACTTTAGGAGTGTCAAGTACACCTGAATACATGCAACAGGAAAATCAGGCCTCTCGAAGTATCAAAGATTAATTTGCTTATCATCATTTCCTACAGAGACAACCTAAATTGTAGCATCTACAATGCTTCATACCTCTCCCTGGTTATGGACCAGGCAGCAAGGACGCTGACCCTTGAAACACCCTCCAGGTGTCTACTTTAATTAGCAGTTCTTTTTTTCCACAACTACATTTGTCATTCCTACTTTACACCAAGACCTCACCAACTTATCTATTTATTGATTCTGCTCAATCACTGTACAGTATATTTTCATATTTGACTAAAACTCACATTACTACAATTTTCTTAAGTAACTCTGCATTTGGTTGAAAAATATACATATAAATTATGCTGTTTCCTTTTGCTGTGTGTGTATATTTTCACCACTTATTGACTCACAGCCATATATTCCAATAAGTCAGCATTTACTCAATGTCGACATAATCTTGCAATCTTAGCATAATATCATTTGTAAGTTTTACAAAGGATTTTACTACAAACATTTCTCACATGCTCATTCTTTACCTTACCCAGAGGGTGTTTCAGGGGATCAACACCCCAGTGGCCTGGTCCATGATCAGGCCTTGCAGTGAATCTGGGTCTGATCAACCAGGCTGTTACTGCTGTATTACTTGATGTATTTCTTCACTTATCTTAATTCTTAGATAATTGCATTATATCACAATGAGGCCTGGTCTCAGACCAAGCCGCAGGGGCGTTGACTCCTGAAACCCTCTCCAGGTTAACCCCAGGTATATTTATTGAGCTTAAAATAGCTCTGAAAGACTAAGCACTACTGTATTCAGTAAGTTTTTTAAGGATGACATACCACCACATACTATAGTGTAGCAGTCAATTTTAACTCTTTCACTGTTGACACTGAATTTAAAAAAAAAAAAAAGTATCTTTTAAAATGGTAGAGAATCCTTTTGTAAAGTTTTTTTTTTTTAACACACCAGCTGTTTCCCACTAAGGTAGGGAAATGGTCATAGTTTAACCATTTCAGGGTCGAGAGGCCCTCTCCTAAACTTGTTCTCAGGGACGAAAATTTTTCAGAAAAAAAAAATTATTTTTTCTTATGAAAAGATAGAGAATCCTTTCCCGATAATAATGACACCAAAAGTATGAAATCTGATGGAAAACTTACGGAATTATGCTCTCGCGAAGTTAGCGGTCTCGATGATGTTTACACATCGGCGATTTCGCCCACTTTGAGCCCTATTTTCAGCCAATTCCAATGTACTAGACGACAAAAATCATAGCTATTTCGCTAGAACTCTATTTTTTCTATCGAATGAGTAAAAGAAACCATCCATTTACCGATTTCAACTATCCAATAAGGTGGTCAGAAATTAGCAATTTTGCCAATTTCACACAAATTTCAAAACATTCCAATTTCCAAATAGGGTCCAGAATAAACAAGACAGACATTCCTGGCCCTAAAATAACATTTCTTCTGTTAATTAGTCATGTCCCCAGGCCCCTCTTACATTTCTTTTGCTTTCCACTTTGAATTTTTATTCTCACAAAAAATAGAAGATTTACTGTTATACAGACTACTGCATTAGTGTAGAAATGGTGTAAATAATATCAGCGCACTTGCAAAAGAATATTAGATTCACCAGTTGATGTGTACTGGATGCGTGGCATGATTTGTTTACTTTTGAACTTTGGCAAAAATCGAACATTTCTGCTACTTTGAGCTCAATTTCAAGGTACTTTTCATTATGAAACCAATCAAAATCATCTCAATTTCTGTAATATGTCTTCCATTCTATAAAATGAGACCAGGAAAACTAGAATACAACCATAAATACTATACAAAAATACAGTGCAAAGTCGCTGTTTTAAACCAAAAACACGGTCAAAGTTTTTTTTTTTCTCATTACGCACTGTGTACTGCAGGATTTTTTTTATACTGCGCACACTGACCACATACACCCATTCTTTCATATGTAGGCCTACCAGCTTTCTCTTGCTAGATTTGAAGGTGCTAGAATTTAGGCGTACTAGTACGCCAATAACCCTGGTGCATAAGCCGTACTAGTACGTCAGAATCCCTGAAAGGGTTAAGCCATCCCAATAATTGAATCAGACCAAGTAAAAACCATTAAAACAGATGAGGGGGTAGGGAAACCTTCTACCCTTCCACAGTAAAATTACCCCAAACCATACATTTCAGCCACTTTTAGGCCTATTTCAGGCCTAAGAACTTCTCCATTTCACTAGCAGGACTTCTGGTCTATCAAATGGTACATAGAAACCAATAAAACTTTGAAAACCACCCAAGAAAATGCCCCAATTACTATTTTAACTCAAACACAAGGTCAGAAATTAGATGTTCCCATCATGCACTGCATGGGAAAGGAATTTTTTTACATTGCACACACCCTCCACACAGACCCATTTTCTCATGTCTGGGCTAAAATTTGCCACTTACAGTATATTTGAGTGTGATGTGATTTATGCATAGATCTATATCTGTAACACTGTTCCCACTGATGTAGATCTATGTGAACGATAGTGAAAGGATCAAAGCACAATTCTGTGTTTGTAACTACAGTGCAAATAATGCACACTATGCAGTCCAAAGAAAGAATGCTGAAAATTAACCTCACTGCCAGATCCAGAGGTAGTGTAGTGCTTCTGACAGTAATTGAGTGCTGCCTGTGTGTCCCTCATTGTGTGAGTGTAGATGGAGAGGGCTTGATGGTGTTGGCCCAGACGACCCATCAGCACTGCTCGCTCTTCATGGAGACCTTGGGTAAAGAATAGCATTAACAACACTTAAACTGGACAGCTGTTAACAACACAAATCACAAGTAAAGGAAAACCATGAATCTTAAATTACAGTGACTCACGAAATCGTAATGACACGATTGCAAACAAACCATACCACGGGCGGGATTGAACCCGTGGTCAGAGAGTCTCGAAACTCCAGACCGTCACGTTAGTCATGCTGACATCATTGAGGGGACTCGAGCTAGAGTTCGTCATGGCCACGCTAGCTGGAGATTTGTCTGTAAAAACTTGCATTTGTGGTCACAGTGGTGCCTATGCTAACCTTCCTATGGTGTAGAAATATACCTAGTTGGACGAATCTTATTGTGGCTAGCTGGTCCAGTGGCTAACGCGACGGTCTGGAGTTTTGAGACTCTCTGACAGCAGGTTCAATCCCGCCCGTGGTATGGTTTGTTTGCAATCATGTCATTACGATTTCGTGAGTCATGTTGACGGCACTGAGGGGACTTGAGCTAGAGTTCGTCACGGTCATGCTAGCTGGAGATTCGTCTGTAAAAACTTGCATTTGTGGTCACAGTGGTGCCTATGCTAACCTTCCTATGGTGTAGAAATATACCTAGTTGGACGAATTTTATTGTGGCTAGCTGGTCCAGTGGCTAACGCAGCGGTCTGGAGTTTTGAGACTCTCTGACCGTGGGTTCAATCCCGCCCGTGGTATGGTTTAAATTACAGTATATTATGATATTCAAGAAGTGTTAAAACAAATTAAATTACAGTACAGAAATAAAAATACATATGTGAAACTGGCCATCTCCCTTTTCCAATTTAAAAATAAATTTCCAGCAGTTCTAACATTTACTATCTCCTCATTACACAATTTGTTATTTTACAATATGTTGAGATTTTTGTTTTATGGACAGTAGTGATGGACAACTGATCTGATAATGGATTCATGAAGCCTGCATGGTGTTGGAACTCTGCATACTAGTGGGTTGAGCAGCAGTTGTGGGGCTACCTGCAGAGATTTTTGGTACATTCTGTAGTCAAGTTAGTATAGTTATAGACTTGGAAGGATACAGGGTCAGTCTCCTTTACTTTTTAAAAATTTGTTACGTACACTATATGGTGAACAAATTAACAGAGGTTTACACTTTAAATCTCCCTTCCTAATGCCACAGAGCAGATAAAAATGCCCTATGATGCCAAAAATTCAGATGCATTCTCCTCCTCAGAAGTGAAAGCTCAGTCTGAAATATACTTTCACAACAGTCAACTCTCCTCAGCATTAAATGCCAGTTGCTGTGTGTACCCATGAGCCTATACTGTTGCCTTTAAATCCATAAACTTAGCAGTAGCAACATGATCTACATTAGAAGCCTCACCTGAGTTTACTTACTTCTTTTTAGGTTCTTATTCTGTGACAAATTGAGTCCATAATCACGTATGTATGTCCAGTGGTGGATGCATTGTCAAGATGCTGGAAAGTGTGAGGTTTAATTTGAAGAGAATACTATTCCTATGTCTCTTGTAGGGAGTTGTTTAAATAGGAAAAATGTTAGCATGACACACTTGGTAGAACAGCAACTGTAATATGAAGTCAACTGTAGCCCTGTAAACAATGATATGTTGGTACAACAGGTGGTCAAGTTGTTATGCCTGGCTAAGGGCATGGATGTTTTTCAGTCACTGTTCTAGTTATATCTGGCTTACAGGAGCTAGTGCGTGTGTATCATGGTCCTGTAAATTGGCTCATGGACCATGGGCAATGGAGTGTAAAATAAAACTTTGCAGACTGAACTTGCAGATGCAGATTGTTGCATAAGAGTATAGTATAAACTTACTATAGTATCTTTCACTGTTTTTATGTTGCAGTAATGATACGAGTTGTCTGTGAGACAGGGAGAGTCTTACTGCATTACAAAGATTATCTGAAGGAACTTCATCCCCTGTATCTGAGTGATAGGAAAATTGAACCAAATGATGGGGAAAAGTTTGCCCTCACCTGTTTGAGTTGGGAAAAGCCATTTGCCTATTTCCAGAAACAAAAAAAAGTGTCACTATTTTTTCCATAAGCAAGTAAAAAAAAAACTGCTCAACGTATGACATCCTTTAGCAATACAGTCGTTACTATAAATATGAGTCCCATGAAACTAACAACATATAGTAATATGTACAAAAATATGGCTCAAATTTCTTTCAGATTTGGGCTTACATTGCATTCCAGGGATTACATTGCTAAAATATCACTATTAAGCCAATGAGCATAATTTAAATTGTCTCATAATTTTCAATTAAGGGGTCATGTGACAATCCTGAAAAAAATGGATGCCAATAGGATAACATTGCATAATCGAAACCTGCAAATAAAAAGGTCTGTAAATTTTGCTGTGGCAAATGTATACATAACAGCATTTTGGGTATAATTTTTTTGTAAAGCAAAATGAGAATAATAACCACTAATAAAACATTACTTACTGTCATAGGGGAAATGAACCAAGAGGGTTGCTGCAGTGTAATATTGAGAGTCATTCAAGAACTTCACAAGTTTCTCACGGACAAGTTGTCTTCTTCCCTTCTCCTAAAACAACAGAGCAATACAAGTTTCAATTGTTAAATTATAAAATTTGAAGGACATGACACTGTAATATATAGTCATACATATATGGCACAGTAATAGAATAATAAAAAAAGTTAATTATACTTAAGTTTAATATAATACAATAATGCACTATCTTCTCAAAACACAATTTGTGAAAATGTTCTGTAACTTAAGTAGTTAAGGAGGTAATTTCAGAAAGGAGATATTTTTTTAAATTTAAGTTTTGCAGGCTCAGAACTGTTATTTCACCTAGGCCTATTTCAAAGCTTAGCTCTAAATACTGTATAGTGTACATTCCCCAGATGAAACTCACAGCAGCAAACACAAAAAGTACTGTACCAATTTACTGCTATTGAAACATGGTCAATGGATTGAAGAAAATTTGCCCACGTCTTGCACAGCCTGGGAATTTAACTTGAAACCTTTTGGTTAAAAGCTGAATGTTCAAACCACTAAGTTATACTGATATATGTACATACTGTACAGGGTAGTATACATTCTTAAGGTGAGCATTTTTATCCAGTCCTATACACTAGTGATACAAAATTAAATTTTGGACATATAATATCCAAGTTTTTTACACACTGGCTTTCTCCCACTGAAGGTGACACAAACAAAGAAACATGCACCATTACTCATTTAGTAGCTGTTTTGTCAGTAGTATGCAGACGTCACAATTCAAATGACCCTCTGAACTGTACCACTGCCACTCCTTCAGAGTGCTGGCATTGTACCTTTCACTTAAAGGACTCAAGTCTAGCTCAACAATTTCCTAAATCACCTTCATAAATGTTACCTTGGTAAACACTCCAACAGCATGTCAGGCAATTAAAAACCACTAGTCTTCACTCGCTCTGATTTAACATAATCAAACGCACTTGCTAGATGCTCAAGCCCTAGCACTCAAAACCTCCTTTACCACACATCTCCAACCCTTCCTGGGATGACACCCCTACTCTTCCTTCCACCCCAGATTTATACATGATCTTGGTCATCTATTCTGCTCCACCCTCTCCAGATGTCCAAACCACCTTAACAACCACTCCTCAGTCCTCTAAATTATACGTTTGGTAAACTCACACTATCATCCAATTTCTACACTTCAAATTCTCTGCATAACAGTCATAACACACACTGCCCTCAAACATGACATCTTCACTGCTACCAGCCTCTTTCTCACTGCAATGTTTAAAGTCCATACCTGATACCCAAATAACAGTGTAAGTATCAATACACTCTGATACATTCCCTATTTTGCCTCCACAGATATGCTTCTTTTCACAGATGCTTCAACACACTAACAACCATTTTTGCCTCATCTATTCTATGGTTCACTTTCTTTCATAGCCCCATCTTGTGGCACATCCACTTCCAATTGCTGAATACTGTACATTCACTTTTCTCTAATTTGATATCCAATGATTCACTATAAACAATTTCTGATGTTCTCATCACCTTGCTCTTTTCTATATTCATTTTTACTGATAATTTTCTTCTTTTACATAACCTTCCAAATTCCTCGATCAGTCTTTGTAACTTTCTTCGGAATCCCCCAAGAGAACAGTGTCATCAACAAAGAGCAATTGTGAGAGCTTCTATTCTGTATCAGATTCATCATCCTTTAAGCCCACATCTCGTCCCAACACTTGAACATTCACTTCCTTTACAGCCCCCTTCAATGAATATGTTAAACATGCTAATACATAGTTAGTTTTTATCAATTTTTTTTAACACACTGCTTATCATCCACCAAGATAGGGTGATTATTTTTTTTTTTTATTAACACAGTGGCTATTTCCCACCAAGGCAGGGTGGCCCAAAAAAGAAAAACTTTCTTTATCACTCACTCCATCACTGTCTTGCCAGAGGCATGCTTACACAACAGTTATAAAACTGCTACATTAACACCCCTCCTTCAGAGTGCTGGCAGTGTACTTATTTCTAAATACTGTATAAAATTTACTCACATAGGTATCACAACTTGGCTGATCCTGCACATTCTGTAGGTACTGATGTTGAAGCAAGACGGCAATCACCATATTACTATACGTACGTATGAAAATGGCACTGTGCCTTTTTAAACGAAATCCCCAATCAGAAAATACTCATTTAAGAAAGAAATTCTCCAAGGAAAAGCTTTTATAAAAAATAACTTAAGGTAAACCACACTTGCATACCTCCTCTACATTAGCTGGATCACTTGACTGATATGGAGCAGAGACTATATCACGGTACTGGTGGATCAACTCATTGTGCAGGAGAGGAGTAGTGTCTCCCCATTCTTGAATTACATGTTCCTGGTAAGCACATCATTATTATCACTGAATAAAACACACAGGAACAATGAAGACATTTTATGTCACAATTATGCACATGTTATCCCAACTTCAGTATCAATATAGTATACCTGTATTTATACATCATTACTATACAGTGGTACCTCAAGTTACGAACTTAATTCGTTCCAGAAGGCTGTTCAAGTGCCAATACCAAATGAATTTGTTCCCATAAGGAATAATGTAAGTTGGATTAGTCCATTTCAGACCCCCAAAAATACACTAACAAAAGCACTTACAAAAATACACTTACATAATTGTTCAAGTTGGGAGCTGTTTGAAACTCAAGGTACCACTGTACGTACTACTATCCTCACTAAGACTATTCCATTTCCCACTTTCATGGGGTATTAAGACATCTCCATGAATATTATAAAGAATTTTTTTTTTTTTTGAAATCCATTAGTAATTCAAATGTGAAAAATCCATTCTCTTACTGTTTTAAACCTTTAGTCAAGTGAAAATTGTAATATTTGGGCCAAGACTTACATATTAGTTGTATAGCTTTCTCATTATAATTTCTTAAGGTTTCTTCCTAAAAAAAGAAAAATATTTTTGGTAGTTTCAAACTGCTTACCAGATATGGAATGACTAGAGATTTCTCAGTTTTCTTTAGAAAGTTGAGTACTTTGGGTCGCGGCAATTGATCCACCTCACCTGACGTGGACTTGTCACCAATAAAAATTTTCAGTCCATCTTCAGGATGTGACTTTAGCACCCATCCCCCATATTCAAAAATCAGATCTATTTGCTGAGGACCTGAATTGTCAGAAAAGTAAAAAAAAAAGAAAAGAAATTTTATGTATTATAAATATAATTTGTGAAAGTAAAATTTTAAACAACACTGCATACTATACAACAAACATATACAATCTACAGGAGGCCCCAAACTTACAAACATCCCAAGTTATACATACTGACACTTACAATGTGGAAATTAGAAGCCAATAAAAATTTTAACACCAGAAAATTGCAATTAAACCAATTTTTTTTGTGCTTATGTATTGTTTCCTATACAAATAACTGTCTTTTAATTAAAAAAAAAAGGACTGGAACACATTTAAGTTAAAACTCAAAAATATAATGCATTTCTAAGCAAAGAAATACAAACATAACACATTTGTAAGTCAGAGCAGTTGAACTTTTCATGTGAGACAAGAGGAACTTGAGTAGTGTCAATTTAACAGTACCAAGTTGCTGCAGGTAAGTCACAGTGTGGTGGTGACCAAACAAAGGAGAGTCCGATCTCTTAGCATGGCGGATCAAGAGCTGGAGAGCCCGCTGATGAAGTAAACGAGTTTGAAGTAGAAGAACCAACTCAGGATACTTATGGGCATGCCGTAGAACACGTTCTCCTTCAACTACACTAACGCGGCTATCTCGCATTCGAAGAAGGGGCTGTACAAGACTGTCATTAGTCTGCAAAGAAAGAGAGAGCATAAACTTGGCTTACAGTTATGTATTCAATCATTATTTACATTATACAATATTTATCTGAACTTGAAGAAGGAAGGGAAGAGACAAAGAGCTCAATCCACTTATTTTACCAATCTTAAGTTGAAGAAATGCTACCTGATATTCCTGGCACTGATCTGGGTGTGTAATTTCCAACTATGTCCTCTCATTTTTCTTGCATCTCTGACAAAGAGCATATCCTTGTCTACCCTGTTGTTTGTTATGCAAGGGGCTGTTGATGCTCCACAGAATGTTGTTTGTTATGCAAGGGGCTGTTGATGCTCCACAGAATGTTGTTTGTTATGCAAGGGGCTGTTGATGCTCCACAGAATGCTGTTTGTTATGCAAGGAGCTGTTGATGCTCCACAGAATGTTGTTTGTTATGCAAGGGACTGTTGATGCTCCACAGAATAGTGTTGGTTATGCAAGGGGCTGTTGATGCTCCACAGAATGTGCTCAAAATAGTTCTTGCCCCAATGTTTTTAATATATTGTCAATGATTTGTCAGAAGGAATCAGTAACTACACAAATATGTAATGATATATGGTATGGTTTGGGATATTTGCTGTTTGGAGTGACATCTGAACTGAGTGACATCTTAACTGTTTGGAGTGACATCTCAGTGCCTCTGCAAAGACAGTAATTATGTATGAATGATGGTGACAGTGTTTCTTTCTTTTTCAGGTCACCCTGCCTCAGTGGGAGACAGCCAATGTGATGTGATACAAAGTAGGAGTTATCACAGTTGTTCTTTGATGATGACAGTTCTTTTGAGGGATTCTGAAGACAAAAATGTAATGATTGGCAAGCTAATTCTGGAAGGTATATAACAGAAGGAAATTACATAAATGTAGATAAGAGCAAGGCGATAAGTCTAGGCAGTGATAGATCGAATGTCAGATTAGATGGAGGGAGTATAGAGGAAGTGGATGTATTTATATATTTGGGAGAGAACCTGATGGGATTATGAAAGATGAAGTGAACAACAGAACAGACGAGGAAAAAAAAAGGCAGGTGGTGTGCTGAAGCATCTGCAGAAAGAAAGTTTATCTATAGAGGCAGAAATGGAATGTACCAGGGTATAATCGAAATAACACTTTTATATGGATGTGAGGATATGGGTTTTGAATGCTGCAGCAAGAAGGAAGCTAGAGGCAGTGGAGTTATCATGTGTAAAAGCAATGCGTGGTGTGGATATTATGCAATGTATGTCCAGCATAAGAATTCATACAACCATCTAATGAGTATTTTATTCAAAACTCAAACAAAACAAAAGGAGAAAAGTACAAGAGGAAATGCTATGAAACTGCTCTCATCATGACATAAAACATAATCACACAGAAGAACGGCAGTGTCCGATTGGCAGACATTTAGCTATTTTTTTTTTTTCAACAAGTCGGCCGTCTCCCACCGAGGCAGGGTGACCCAAAAAGAAAGAAAATCCCCAAAAAGAAAATACTTTCATCATCATTGAACACTTTCACCTCACTCACACATAATCACACATTATCACATTTAGCTATATAGATATTAAACCAGTTATACCACTGAGAACTACCAGCTATTACCACCACCACCACCACTACTACTACTACTACTACTTGCACCACCTAAAATGCCAGCATGAGTCAAGATTAACTAAGTGTGAGGCAGCAGACCTACTGCAGTGCTTCTCTAATCTTTGCTGAATTTCTTGTGTTATACCTATGTTTCTCTATTCTGCCTATAAATTGTGCTACTACCAGGTAGCATAATGTAATTTGATAAAGACTGCTCCACAGGCAAAATGCCATTTTAAATAGTATCCAACTGCTGCTTGTATTTATCAGCTACGTCTATATGAATATGTTTGTGAAAAATGCAAAACCGATACAGTAATCATGTGAATACTCGTCCTCTAATTTTAATCTTACCTGCACATAACATTTCAAGAGTGTTGTGTCAATGATCTGGAGCTTCTCATTGCGAGACTTTAAGCTTGCTGCTCCTGTGGAAGAAAACTTGTTATCTGAACTATCCTCCACATTTGCTTCACAGTCAGTGTTTGACAGCTTGTGACGCACCTGTAATGTATACCTAAAATTATTTATAACATAATTTTATTTTCTTACAGCTTGAACCCCTAAATTTCTCATTTATGATTAAACTTGCTTTTTAAGTTACATAAAATTCTTTAAATCATAAGACTGAATACCATATCACATTTGAAGGTCCAACAATATTTGCATTTTGACAATCACAAAATCAACTACTGACCTCCAACAGAAAATGCACAAGAGCTTGGAGTGCCTGCTCTAAGTCTGTACCACTTAGTGTTGGAATGGGATATGGATACCGAAGCCGGCTTCGGTACTCCTCAGGAACCATGTCCGGATACATGCCAATGACAAATGGGAGATCTGAAGATGTGACATCCTACATCAGAGATAATATACAAGAATACAGAGAATATTAAATAGCAATGAACTTAACCATACTATTGATTACAGTATATTAATTTAACTGTCTAGTCTTAGTTTTTGTTCAGTGCACATGGGCAAAATACTTTATCAGACCTGTGTTAAGAGCAAAAAACAGTTTCATTGCTTCAGGGTAGTTTTTACTACAGAAGAGATGAATAGCTTGTAAATGCTGGATATGTTTTTGCATCTGAGATTTTGCATCCTCTGCTTCATCCCACACATCCTGAAACATAATACTACTGAACATCATTAATCCAAAGATAAAGGTGATGAAAAGACACATGTTGCAGAACAAGCTTCTACTGGGTAACATTTTGCTCTACACAGAGTGAGGCTCGTCTTGCAAATGTCTTCTTCACTACTGTCACTTGTATATATAGTAAACATTAATGATTCTACATCTACTGTGCATATTAGAATTAGATGGTTAAGACATGGGTATTTTTACAGTGGAAACATTCCGACAACCAGTGACTGTTACTCAAGAACAGAGAATAATAACAGAGATGGTGGAAGACATGAAGTAGTAGTTGGAGGTGATCAGTCTCTCTACCTTGAAAAAGTGTTGTCTAAAAATCTTCATATTTTCCACAGTTTCAGGTGATCAGTCCCTCAGATTCGTCAAAGCTTAGGGACTGATCACCTGAAACTGTTACTTCATGTTTCCCACCATCTTCAGTATTATTCTCTGCACTGGATTTATAAAGCTGCTGGTTGATGTAACATCTTCACAATAAAGAAACATAAGTGTTGCACATGTGTCTTATTCATCTGCTTGTCAGTTTTGTGAACCGTTATTATATAACACAGTAAGCAATATTAATAATGATCAGTAGTTCAAACATGGTTTGGTCACAAACATTCCTGACAGTTGATGCTCATCTTTCCTCAACTTTTCAAATTTTAAACCCATATAAATGTTTGAATGACAAACTTCCAGTATACTAATGCACATAAGTATTTAATGTACTATGAAAATGTTACTTATTTTGAATAAAATAAATATCTGACATACAACAAGATTTAAGGCCAGTCCAAACTGTTTCTCAACTAGAAGTTGTGGGATCTGTTGATTGATGGGGATTGCATGTAAACACCACACATGAGATGATGACGCAACGTAAACTTGACTTTTTCCTCTGAAAAGAGAAGTTTGGAAATAATTACCTCACAAGTATTAATAGTTTTCTTTCAATAAACCAGCCGTATCTCACCGATTAACAGTCTCATCTATTGTATATTACAAAAGGATCCTGATACCTGTACAATATTTTGATTTTAAACAGAATCCACAAGACTGAAACAAAGACTGAACAGCCTTACTTTTGAACCATACAGTGAAGAACTTAGTAAGTTGTCTAGTTATGAAATAGTGGCAATTTGCCTATGACAAAAAATAGGGCAGCTCCAGAAGTTTTATATAGGAGGGGCTTAGAGGTGGCAATCTGACTGGAAGAGGAGGGCTAGGGGACTTGTCTTAAACCAGCAACACTATTATTAGTGTTCAGTAGTGGGCACAGTTCCACTAATCCGCTAACTAGCAGAACTAACTTTTTGTTTAGCAGATTAGCATTTCCGCTAACCTCGGAAACCGTTAGCAGACCAATTAGCTTCTGCTAAATAAAGTTCTGCTAACTTTGAGTCCACTAAAAAAATATCATATGTTGGTAGTCGGAAAGCACAGGCAATCTTCTTGTGGCAGTGCCACTAGCTGGAGCAGCTCATGAAGGGCAACCAGCATCACACCAGAGTGATGGAGAAGGCCCAGCCAGAGTACAGTGGACCCTCGACCAACGATATTAATCCGTTCCTGAGAGTTCATCGTTAATTGAAATTATCGTTAGTCGAGTTAATTTTCCCCGTAAGAAATAATGGAAATCAAATTAATCCGTGCAAGACACCCAAAAGTATTGAAAAAAAAAATTTTTACCACATGAAATATTAATTTTAATACACACAAACTGAAGAAGACAAGTACAATTACATGACACTTACCTTTATTGAAGATCTGGTGATGATTGATGGGATGGGAGGAGGGGAGACTGTGGATGGTGTTAGTGTTTAGAAGGGGAATCCCCTTCCATTAGGACTTGAGGTGTCAAGTCCTTTTCTGGGGTTACTTCCCTTCTTCTTTTAATGCCACTAGGACCAGCTTGAGTCACTGGACCTATGTCGCACAACATATTTGTCCATAGAGGCCTGTACCTCCCATTCCTTTATGACATTCCTAAAGTGTTTCACAACATTGTCAGTGTCACAATTAAACACTTGTTCAGGTTTCAATTCTTCACTGTCTATGTACTCCTTGAATTCCTGCACGTATTTTTCAGCTGCTTTTTGGTCCAAACTGGCAGCCTCACCATGCCTTATCACACTATGCATGCCACTACGATTCTTAAATCTCTCAAACCAACCTTTGCTGGCCTTAAATTCACTCACATCACTAGTTGCAGGCATTTTTCTAATTAAATCCTCATGCAACTTCCTAGCCTTTTCACATATGATCGCTTGAGAGATGCTTTCTCCTGCTATCTGTTTTTCGTTTATCTACACCAATAACAGTCTCTCAACATCTTCTATCACTTGCGATCTCAGTTTCGAAAACATAGTTGCACCTTTGGCAAGAACAGCTTCCTTTATTGCCATTTTCTTGGCCACAATAGTAGCGATGGTTGATTGGGGTTTGTGTACAACCTGGCCAGCTCGGAGACACGCACTCCACTTTCATACTTAGCAATGATCTCTTTCTTCATATCCATAGTAATTCTCACCCTTTTTGCTGTAGGATTGGCACTAGAAGCTTTCTTGGGGCCAATGGTGACTTATTTTGCAGTTTTTTTTTTTTCAACCAGTCGGCCGTCTCCCAAAGAGGCAGGTGCAATCACTAAAAACGCTGTGATAATATGAAATGTTCCGATTGTATGTTTGGATGGGACCGCGGTGGCTGGCTGGCTTGTAAACACTGGCCACAAGTGGACGCGTCTCAGATGGAACGAATCGTGTTGGTCGAGTTTTTTAGCGCTAGTCGAGGCAAAATTTTTGCGTTAAAATGTATCGCTAGTCAGATTTAACGTTAGATGATGCCATCGTTGGTCAAGGATCCACTGTAATCAGCCCTGCCATCATCTGATCTTGGCATGATACCCATACTATGCATCTTGTGCAGTAAATAAAGTGTATGTTGGATTTAAACTGATGTTTGATTTCATTTGTTCATTTAACTATTTGTGTGCACCTGTACAGCTGTATCGCTGGTGCAGCGATAAACTGGCCTTAAGGTTTCAACTTTAAGCATGATTTTCAACTACAGTGGACCCCCGGTTAACGATATTTTTTCACTCCAGAAGTATGTTCAGGTGCCAGTACTGACCGAATTTGTTCCCATAAGGAATATTGTGAAGTAGATTAGTCCATTTCAGAACCCCAAACATACACGTACAAACGCACTTACATAAATACACTTACATAATTGGTCGCATTCGGAGGTGATCGTTATGCGGGGGGTCCACTGTACAGTGGACCCCCGGTTAACGATATTTTTTCACTCCAGAAGTATGTTCAGGTGCCAGTACTGACTGAATTTGTTCCCATAAGAAATATTGTGAAGTAGATTAGTCCATTTCAGACCCCCAAACATACACGTACAAACGCACTTCCATAAATACACTTACATAATTGGTCGCATTCGGAGGTAATCGTTATGCGGGGGTCCACTGTACTTGTTTGTAGTTTATTGGGTTCAAAATCTAAATTAAGTTAAATGCAAACATGAACAGAAACAGAATAATATGAACAAATACAATGAGTAACTAGAACTAATGAAGAAAACAATCAAATAAGCTAACTCAATCTGTTCAGGTGCTATGGCTTCAGTACAGTGACAAGGGTGTCCTTGTCAGTCGCTCGCAGTACATCACAAAATTAAACAATCGCTATTTTTGCACTAGTGGCACTTGATCATCATATGACCTTGGCATTCCATATCTTATTAGGAAGCTCTCCAAGTCTGTTCTAAAAGTCTTAAAAGTAAAAGTAAAAGACCAAAAAACTAAACTGAATCTGAATTCATGTGAATAAGTTAGTGGTTAGCATTTAGCATTAGCTTCTGCTAATTTTTGCAGTGGTTTAGGGTTAGCAGAGCAAATTTTTTAGTTAGTGGATTAGCGATTAGTGAAGCTAACTTTTCTCTTAGCTGTGCCCACCACTGTTAGTAGTTTTATTTAAGGAGGCATTTATGCTGATGAAATATCTGAGAGGGGCTTTCACCCCCCATGGTGCTGCTCCTGCTAAGAAACAATACTGTATGGAAGTGAGAAATAAAACAAACTTAAGATAGATTAAATACTGATTATGGAATACCACAAGCTTAGCTCTACTCCTGTAGCTACAAACAGGTAGTTATGAAAGATTCACAATTTTCTTTTAACACAATGATCATCTCCCACCAAGGCAGGGGGACATGAAAAAGAAACACTTTCACAGTCACTCACACTATCACAAATACCTACTTCCCTAGCAAGAAAGATTTCAGGAAAAAGTGCACACAAAGTTGCATTAAATAAGCCTTCCTCACTTTGAAGACTGTCCCACTGCAAGAAGTTTAGGCTTGTCTAAGTTGAGAACTTGTACAGTAATCTGAGGTTCTGTAGTCTTAATTTCTATCGTCTTCGACAAGATAGCTATTAAGTATGGCTTGTCATAGGCTGAAAAGAATAAACAAGAAATTATTAGACATCTCACAGTAACTTTTCATGATCATTTATTACAATATAATGAGTAAAAACCATGTTGGCAGTGCACTATATATGATATATTCCTTCATAATACAATATGTACTTATAAACTAATTTTATAATCTACAGTATATCCTAAGAGTAATTTTCCATCTTATTCTTGTGCAAACTTAGTTAAAAAAAATAAAGTTCACACAGGAAAATCAAAACAATGACACTTATTATAAAAATATAAAGGGAAAATTGTCAGTCACACTGTCATTAATTCATACAGACAAATTTCTCTAGTGCCGTATAACACAAGGCAAAATTTATTTTGAATGCTATGCATTTTAAACCAACATACCACCATACTATATATAATGTATTTTTATTAGGATAGAAGTTTTCTTCTAGATAAAATAGCAAAAGTGTAACAGCTAATCATACTTTAAACATTAGGTATCCAAGAGCTGCTGTGACACCTTCAAGAATTCCTTAAGAAAAGTTACATTTACCATTGCTTTTTTCAATAAAATTTAAAGCATTTCATATGCAAATTCTTTCTCCCATTTTCATTTTATCCTTTATTAGACACTATGCAAATCTCAAAGAATAAATTTACCTACATACCTACCATATCTTTATAATATATTACTCTAATCAGGATATTTATGGAATTCGTATGAAATATTTATCAGAATAAAAAAGATTTAGGTGTGAAAGCCAAAGTCAAAAAAATGTTGTAAAATAAAATAATTTTATTGGCTGTCCTTCAATAAAAATATTGCATAATAGAAATTAACACATAGGGAGGCTCATGAATTTGTAGGACGATTAATTTACAATGGTGCACAAAGTATGATTTTTAAGATGACTACCACAGTAAATAAGTCAAACAAAAATATGCCTGAAGGAAAATCACTGCAATGGCCGAGTCCTATATAGAAAAAATTTGTTGAATAGCCCCAAATAAAGACAAGTACAGTGCCACAGAGAGTAGAGAATATTTTAATCTGTACTTGCTTACTATTTCTACTTAAGCTTCCTTATTGCCTAGGCTACTTAAAAATTAAAGCTTTATTACTCTAATACATGTATATAAGATTGAAAATGCTTTTAAGTAAGGAGCAACAAGCTGAGTGCCTTCATTTACTGATCATCGAAACAGTACCTAGGATTCTTTTCGTCGCTTTCACTCAACATCGTCAGATGTTATATGGAGTTATGTGAAGAATAAACACTGCATTTATGTTTCCTGACACCAAACTCTGGTCCACACAATATACTGATGCAGCATACATGATGTTCGACAACCCACACCAGATAATTTCTTGTGCCTTCAAGTCATAAGCCAGTGTCTGCTTCACCTTCCTAAATGAACCATTGCTTATTTTCACCGGTCAAAAGAAATCTACATATAAAATCAACCACAGTACAGTATACATAAATATAAGAATGCCATCAAAAAAATAAAATCTTCCTTTTTTTTTTTTCTTTTTAGCACACTAGCCAACTGCCACCAGTTGGCCAGTAGAGCACAGACATCATACAATTTAAATAACCGAACTGCAACATCCCCACCCTTTCCCCAGGGTGCAGCTACTGTACTCTGGTACAAACATTAAATGCAAACAAATATATAAGGTGACTCACCCAAGCAGAGAGGTTGTTCAACCCATTTTAAAGTGTAGCTGCAGGTGGCATTCCCATCAGCATCAACAAAAATGGTTTCTTTGTCATGGGCCAAGGCTAGCTGTTCTCCATCTACCATTCGTGTTATCAGTGGTTCTTGGCTGCGACCAGTAGCAAATAGCTCTTTCTGCTCGCCTGTTAGCTACAATAAGCAAATTATAATCAATTTCATAATTTTATCCTTCTGAGTTTTTCTTACTTTTATTCTAATCAACTTCACATCTTTATTTATAAATTTGACAATCTATAAAACAGAAAAACTTCCACATCACAATCCTAACTTCATATTGTTTCCATATGAAAAACAAATCATGCATACTTTTATTTTCCCTTTTTAATTTTTTTCCTGGTGTATGAATAATTGTTTCTATGATGAAAATAAATAAGCAACACTATTAGCTTCCAATGACCTGTGTAAATCATGGTTAAGCTTTTGTAACAATTCATGAATATTTGTCCCTTTTCCTACGAATCTACTGAACTCTTCTTATCAGCTATTACTATCAGTTTTTCATTTCTTTAGTCAAACTTTAGCATTCCATTTCTCTGGCAATTACAACATGAGCTCCTCAGGATTCTTTACTCTTTGAAGGTTTACTAAGATTTAAGGGGATTTACATTGATATAAAATATTCTGGTTGATGTATGACTGAGCCAACATGTGGTTAAAAAAGACACATGCGACAAAAGATTTTCTTTTAGCATACATCTCACCTACAGTTCATATAAGTGAACTGCTGTACTTATAAAAGTCTCCTTTTGTTATGTGTTTAGAAGTTCACAGGATAAGACATAGAAGGCAAAGAAAGTGAGGTACTTGTTATCTTAAAAAAGACCAAAACAAAGAGCTGTTGACCTGTGAAAGTTGATCTAGTAATGAAAACTGATCTATAATGCAGATGAATTGGAACACAAGACTTGTAAGGCAAAACAGTCAAAAGATTGCCAGCACTGAAGTCAAAGATTCTGAAATTTGGGTAATATCAAAAGCAATGTATATAAAGAAGAAAGAGCAAAAGGAAAGGTTGATGATAAATATACTGTATAAATAATGACTATACCTGTATATGCAGGGTAATGGGTAAAAAAAAGTAAAAGGCAATAATAATGTAAAGCAAGAGATGCAAATATGGTGGACGATACACATAAAGTACATATGCTTGGTGGGATATATTGTACCTAGATATATAGACTACCATAAATATCCTAACCTTGACAAGCCAATATTCATGCTTGAATGCAACAGCAATTGCCTCCATGCACCACGTTAAAGCTCGAGGCACGTCAGGTAATACAAGATCCTCACGAAGTTGGTGAAATTTTCTTGATTTCCAATAAAAAAGCTGAAGCTTACGTCTCACAGCCACAACCAAACGTACCATTACTACTGCATCGCCAGTCAATGACACATGGTGCTGTAAATCAAAAGTTAAAAATTGTCATGAGCAAAAAACATCACTCAAAAACGATGAACACCAGAAGACAACCGAGCATATTTCAAATGTGAAACAAGTGAGGTACTGTTAACAATACCAATACATTGTCCAAATAGTACACAGGTGTACTGAAGCAAAGATATATAAGCATGATCATAACTTATAGTTAATGATGGTTAACACTACAATCATAAGGTATGTCTAAGGAATATGGATAAGATAGATTATTGTATACACAGTAGCAGAACTCAGTAAAATATTAATTTACCTTAATATCAAGATCAAAGGCAGTTGCACCCTTGGTTTGAGTCAAAATACAGAGAAGAGGTAGATTGAAGACAGTCAGATCATGAACGCTTACTACATTATCTGTAATACAGAGAAAACAACAATGCCTTAGTCAAAAAAGTACTGCAGAAGATTAATTCAATATAAAATATATGAGGGAGTTACAAGCACATTCATGGAATAAAGTTAACATCTAAGGTCTATGACTTTTCAGCCAATTACCATACACATTATTTGGCTTAGGACCTCAAGCCAAATAATTAAAATAATTTGTTTAACACACAAGCTCTTTCTCCCACCAAAGTAGAGTAACCCAAGAAAGAAAACCTGCTCACCTTTATTTATTCAATAGCTGTCATGCCAGAAGTATATAAAAATAGTATCATTAACATTCATATACCTTCCAGCAAAGTGCTGAACTTCTTTAAGTAGTTAAGTACAGTACCAGCTAATACTAAAGTAATGGCTACATAATCATGCATATTAATGTACCATACCTGATAAGGAGACAATAATCTGATGCTCAGGTATTACAGCCACTTGAACAATTGGTTTGCGAGAGAAGTTTTTATTAGAGCAGAGAAGTGCAACATCCCAACGTCGAGTGGTACCAGGTGTAACTGTATACATGAGAAGATGACCCTGCCTCGTTCCCACCACCAGATTGCCATCTGAAAAGTATAATGTACTGTACACAAAAAAATCCACTAATCTATAATTATGAACATCATCTGTAAACAAATGGGCAGCCAAAATCCTCAATGTAATGACAGATTTTAATGCATTGGCACAGGTACAGACAATAATATTAAGATTGTAAGAATAAGTCATATGCAAAATCAAGACATTTATTGAAGATGCTGGACCAATGGTGGCTTTTTCAATAATAATAGACAAAGCCAAAAATATAGTACTTAAAAAAGAAATCCAGGACAGGAAGAGTGACAAGATCCCTTGTCAGAAATAAATGGGATGGGCCATGTATATATACATGTACTGTATAAGCAAGAAAGGTTGGATATTGAGGAGGACCTGCCTTAGTAGGGCCAATAGGCCCACTGGTCCAGGTTTGGCAGGTTGTTCTTGACATCTCACCCTTCTTACTTATGCAGTACATGGCTCATCCCATTCATCACTGACCCACATACAACCACCCACTGTCTTTCATCACTTCCTCCAATAACGTTTATTATTCTAGTTTTGGTTAAATGATGAAAAATAATGAGGTAGTCTGGGTGTGTGTTGGCGGTGTGGCTGCGACCAGCAACCCACTGCTGCTGGGTCTTGTCATTTTTTTTATTAATATCATGTTATTATGGCTGATAAGTCAATAAATAACTGGCTCATGAAATTGTAATGACACAATAGTGTGCATGTCTGGAGTTTTATGACTCTCTGATGGAGGGTTCTATCCCTGTCCATGGTATGGTTTGATTAAGTCAATAAATAATTTCCAAAACAGATATTTTTTTGCAAAACCAAGGCAATTTCAGACAATTCCCCTCATGAAATTATGCCAAAGTGGGACCATGGAATAATGTACACTATTAAAAATTGTAGGTATATCAAAATATATAACATTTATTCATAAAGTATTATTACAATCTGGGGAGAGCAAAACCCACAATTTTCATACAGCACGTCAGGAACAGGAGGTAGTGAAAGTCAATCCAATGAAAGTGGATTTATCCACTTCCTGGAAACAAGAACCACTCACTGGAATCCAAGTATTTTCTTTGAGGGGATATACTGTAGACATTACAGATGTACAAAGGCAACATTTAAGAACATGAAAATGGAGAAACACTGCAGTAGGCCTACTGGCTCATTTTAGGTGGGTCCAACTCACCCAACCACGCCCACTCATATTTTATGATACTCCTACATTACTTACGTAGACATTCACAATATATCTTTCACCACAAGTGAAAAAAAAGTCTGAATTTCAAAAACAGACCGAATGCTTACATTTACACAAACAACTGGATTACTAATAAAATACATCATTATCAAAATCATAAAGAAGTGCTAAACCCTTAAGAGTCATACAACCCTGTAATAAAATACATTATTGTTATAATCAAGGGGAAGCACTAAACCCGTAGGATTATACAGCTCCTGTGGGGGGAATATGGAAGGTATTCAGGCTTAATTCAAGGAACTATAGCACAGATCCAATTCCCTAGATCAAGAGCCCCACACCAGCGCCAAGGAACCTTCCTTGAGGGGTAATAAAATACAAATCTAGACAAAATATGAGAAAAATTTATCGTCTGTGGTAAGGAAGCACAAGACTATGAGTCAGGGGCGCCAGTCATATGTCTGGTGCTGTGGGTGACTTACCATAGGCCGTGACTGCTTCAATCTGCAGCGGCAGCTTCTCCAAGATAGGAATGGCCTCGTAGGCATCATGCATGCTTTCTACAACTCGAAAATCACTTCATAATAACAATAAAAAAAAAATGGGGGCGACAGCTACGCCTATCTCTGAGACTTTGTTATTGTTGTTGGTTGTGTTAAGGGACATTAAAGCTCCTAACTTATTGAACCCTTTTTCTCGGACATCGGAATTAAATATACAAATAATTTATTTAGATACAGGTACACAAATACAGTTACACAAATTATCATACATAGTAACATGTGTGTCAATTAACCATCAGGATAACCCAGAAAAAGGTCAAAGTGAGTTATTTTCACTGTGGGCCTTGTAATATCTAAATATCTTATTAAGTATCATGCTGAAATAAATTATTATTATTATAATAACTACTACTACAATTATTATAATAACTACTTTTAAAATTATTATTATAACTGCTTCTAAAATTATTATTATAACTAAAGAAATTATTATAATAACTAAAGAAATTATTATAATAACTACTTGTAGAAATTATTATTATAATAACTACTAAAATTATTATAATTACTTTAAAATTATTAGAATAATTATTAGAAATTATTATTACAATAACTACTTGTTGAAATTATTATTATAATAACTACATGTAGAAATAAAGATTATTATTATTATTAAACACACAACCCCCATCTGAGTCACCATTATTATTATTACTATTATAATCAAAACCAGTGCTTACCAAAGAAATATTGTCTGTATATCAATTCAAGACTTTTCTAAAAAAAAAAAACTATCTACTCACCCAAAACTAAATACACAGTATTTAATTTAACTTTACCTACATAGTTAACAAATAACTTTCTACTGCCTCAAAAATATTATTCACAGTGTTACTCCTCTAATCTTAGGACCACCATAAATAAATACTCAAAAGATCAATAAATTCTTAAATCTAACCTAATGCAAATATTGAATAATTTATACTATTTCATAAATGTATAACCCAGTTGTATAATTAGAGAAACCTTGTCAAACTATGTTATTATAGCATTACCTAATATAATAATCCATTCTCTGGAATACACTGTAACTCATCTAATGATCATATAAACTGTTAGTGCACTACAGATCAATGATTTGATTTGATTAGATCTGATTAATAAACTGTACGACTACATATAGTAAATTGATAATTTTGTTATATTATTCATTGTAATGTTACAAAATTGTAAAACTATAATGATTCCAAATTGAAATGTTCGAATTCATTGTTTAAATACTCAATTGTACTTGATATTGTAAACTGTTTACTGTAATTATTCCATTAATATTAAGTTAATTTTAAGCCTGCCCCTAATGTTCTGCATACAGGAGCATTTGTACACCCAACTACTATGTATCATGTCTTAATAAACTATTATTATTATTATTATTATAAACAACCAGGGTGATATGGTGCTGCTGAGTCACTAACAACAAGCTCTACTCTGGCCTACAAGTTGATACATGGCGCCCCGAGCAACTGGCAGCAGCGGCGGTCATGTAGTGAAATTTAACCTGCCGGGGGCAGAACATGGGGAAATTTTGACAGGCAGCGGGCAGAGCGAGACAGGCGATGGACAGAGCCAGAAATCCACACTAAGGCTACCACAGCAAGAGTCCCTCCCAGTGACTGTTGTGTACAGCTGATCTAACGTCATGTGATGGAACTTTCATTATAAAGATCAGCTAATTGAAGTTCCAAAATTAATAATTACTCAAAAACCTGAAACAGTCAGAACATTGTTAAAAATCGACGCTTATTATATGAAATGGATTACTGAGACTTCGAGCAATTTCCTGTTAAAATGCCGATTAAAATTAATCATCTATCCATCTTCAAGTCAGTTTTTACTCGGGTTCACTATACAAGTTATTATATCTTAATCTGAAAACAAAATACATTTAAAAATGATACATTAGCAAGAACAATATGCATGTCATCACTGAGCCCACAACAACTGAACATGCCGAGTATTAAAGACAGTAAATCAGCTAAGTTAAATCATGTTTATAAATTTACTGGCAATTATTGACGAGTGAACAACCACAACCAGGGTGCTAATGGGGTATTATTAATTTATTACTATAATCAAAACTAAGTCTAAACCCAGGGTCATACAGCGCTGCCCTACCAGGGCAAGTGAACACAATTTTGTAGTGCCTGCTGGAGGTCAGGTCTCAAACGCTTTATTATATAGGAATAAAGGAGTGGAATGGATTGATTATGTCAAGGCCAGTCCTAGCATGAACCAGTTAGTTTATTTAGGCACAGGTACACATAAGTACGATTATCATACATAGTGTAAATTACCTAGGATAACCCCCAAAAACAGTGATTCTTGTATAGTTAACATTGGCGTACCTACTTTGGGTTATCCTAGGTTCTCTGCACATATGCTGCTATGTATGATAATCTATGTGACTGTATTTGTGTATACCTGAATAAACTTACTTATTATTGTAAGCTTATCCTCCCTATTTAATGTTCATTTAATGGGACGAAGTTATAGCATGGTTCCAGGCCTCTGTATTTATTGATCTGGGTCTCCCTGAAACTGGTGCCACCTTTACCCCATCAGCTTCAGAGTATTAGAGGTGCCAGTCAATGTGGACGCATAGGTGTAGTCCCATGTAATGTGCCGTCCGTCTTTCCAGGGTAGCATGGTCAGGGCCGGATTAAGAAGTCTCCGGGTCCTTGGCTATTCAGATCGGCGGGGCCCCTTTTAGTTACGGGTAAGCGAAGCGACCCCTTCCAGCTTGGGGGTGGGGGTGGGGGGGTCGGAGTGAGCCTGTTTAAGGTCTAATTAAATACATTCTGTCTATTTAGATTAAATTTAATAGGGAAAGTACATCAAGACAACCAAAACCATTTACCAACAGCCATTATAACTATCTTGTTAAATCATGCATTTTAAAGAGAATAAACTCAAGACAGCATAGTATAACTAGATTAGGCTATTAAAGTAGTGACATCATGTACCTATTATATTCAGCATAACCACTACAGCACTATTATTCCCTTTATAAATCACTGACCATTATTGTTATCATTGCATCATGCATAAGACTATCAAATCATATAAACTCAAGAAAGTAAAGAATTGTTTATATTCACAGGCACTTCTTGTGACCAGGTGTGGACGTATCAGTGGTTCATTACTTTGTAATTTGTTCATGACTGTAACCATGTATAGGAGTGAAGCTGATTCATTACCTCTGTAACTTGCCATGATTAGTGACCAGATCTACCTGGAGTTCATTACCTTTGTAACTAGTTCAGCTATCATAACTTTGGGGTCCAGTCACTGGACCCATTATGTACCTTTGTAATCTTTTGACTACCGCCCACAGGATGGGTATGGGGTGCATAAAGATATTAAACTAAAGTGTGTGTGTGTGTGTGTGTGTGTGTGTGTGTGTGTGTGTGTGTGTGTGTGTGTGTGTGTGTGTGTGTGTGTGTGTGTGTGTGTGTGTGTGTGTGTGTGTGGTGTGTGTGACTCAACAATCAATATTTGCACCAATAACTCATCCTCATATCCGACATAGACAAGGATGTCAGCCACAGCACCGTGTCTTCCTTTGCAGATGACACCCGGAATCTGCATGACAGTGTCTTCATTGCAGGACACTGCAAGGCTCCAGGCGGACATCAACCAAATTTTTCAGTGGGCTGCAGAAAACAATATGAAGTTCAACGATGAGAAATTTCAATTACTCAGATATGGTAAACATGAGGAAATTAATCTTCATCAGAGTACAAAACAAATTCTGGCCACAAAATAGAGCGAAACACCAACGTCAAAGACCTGGGAGTGATTATGTCGGAGGATCTCACCTTCAAGGACCAATAACATTGTATCAATCGCATCTGCTAGAAAAATGACAGGATGGATAATGAGAACCTTCAAAACTAGGGAGGCCAAGCCCATGATGACACTTCAGGTCACTTGTTCTATCTAGGCTGGAATATTGCTGCACTCTAACAGCACCTTTCAAGGCAGGTGAAATTGCCGACCTAGAAAATGTACAGAGAACTTTCACGGCGCGCATAACGGAGATAAAACACCTCAATTACTGGGAGCGCTTGAGGTTTCTAAACCTGTATTCCCTGGAACGCAGGAGGGAGAGATACATGATTATATACACCTGGAAAATCCTAGAGGGACTAGTACCGAACTTGCACACGAAAATCACTCACTACGAAAGCAAAAGACTTGGCAGACGATGCACCATCCCCCCAATGAAAAGCAGGGGTGTCACTAGCACGTTAAGAGACCATACAATAAGTGTCAGGGGCCCGAGACTGTTCAACTGCCTCCCAGCACACATAAGGGGGATTACCAACAGACCCCTGGCAGTCTTCAAGCTGGCACTGGACAAGCACCTAAAGTCAGTTCCTGATCAGCCGGGCTGTGGCTCGTACGTTGGTTTGCGTGCAGCCAGCAGCAACAGCCTGGTTGATCAGGCGCTGATCCACCAGGAGGCCTGGTCACAGACCGGGCCGCGGGGGCGTTGACCCCCGAAACTCTCTCCAGGTAAACTCCAGGTAAATTACAGTTGTGACCGGGTGTGGAAGTGTGAATTGCTCATTACTCTATAATTTGTTCATGATTGTAGCCAAAGTATAAACGTAAGTAACCATTCTACAGAATTCATTACCTTTGTAACTTGTGAGCTCATTACCTTTGTACCTAGTTCAGCTATCAAAACTTTGGGGGCCCAGTCCCTGGACCCATTACGTACCTCTGTAATCTGTAAATACCTTTGTAACTTGTCATGATTGTGACCAGACTTACCTGGAGTTCATTACCTTTGTAAATTGTGAGTTCATTACCTTTGTAAATTGTGAGTTCATTACCTTTGTAAATTGTGAGTTCATTACCTCTGTAACTTGCTCAGCTATCAAAACTTTGGAGTCCAGTCCCTGGACCAATTATGTACCTCTGTAATCTTTTGACTACCGCCCACAGGATGGGTATGGGGTGCATAATAAACATATTAAACTAAAACTAACTTCTTAAATAAACTTTTTTCTGGATTTCATATTGGCAAAATCATCAATTATATTCTGAAAATCAATATTTCTTGTTAGATCAGACTCAGTGGTCA